TAGATGCATGTGCTTCTCTGAGATACAAGAAGGTATCCAAAAGGTCTCTCCCTTGGATAACACCGAACATTCGTCTCATGATGAAACTAAGAGATAAAGCTTATTTCAGTTATAAAAACTTAAAACAGCAAAATTCTAGCAAAAAAGGCATTGAACAAAAATGGACTTATTACAAGCAATTACGAAATTTAGTAACTGCATCCATAAGTAAAGAGAAGAAGGCTTACGTTGAGTATCAATTGAAGCAAAAGCGCAATTCTCGTAGCTGGTGGAAATGTATCAAGCGGTTAGGTATACATGGTAATAAAAATAAGTTTAACGACTGTCCTTTTGAACCTGACTCTGTCAATAGTTTCTTTATAAATTCCATTCCAAATAGCACAATAGACGAATTACTACTAGTGTACTATGAAAATCACAAGCATCGTTCTGTTGATGAGGATTTTAACTTCACTTTAATATCCCAGCAAATCATATTTGACGAGTTTATGAAAATAAAATCAAATTGTGCAAGTCATGATGGACTGAGCCTAAGTATATTGGAAATGTTCATACCATATTGTCTCAATGTGCATATCACTAATTTTTGTTTGGAGACTGGCACTTTTCCAGAATTGTGGAAATTAGCAACTGTAATACCTTTGCCAAAGACTGATAATCCCCTGGAACTTAGTGATTATAGACCTATCAGTCTATTGCGTATATTGTCTAAGTTATTAGAAAGAATTGTGTTTGTGCAGATGCCTACCTTCCACAGAATCAGGCTTCAAACCTTTACATAGTACTGTAACTGGACTGATTTATGTCAGTGACGACTACTTAAGAGCCATAGACGATGGTAACGTTACAACATGCGTGATGCTAGACCTTTCTAAAGCTTTTGACTGCATAGATCATAGATTTCTTTTGGCAAAACTGTATTTTTTTGGATTTTCTGCGTCGTATCTTGCCTGGTTCTCTAGTTATCTATCTGGTAGATCACAAATGGTGAAACTTGGAGCAAAAATATCTTCGAAATGCAATGTTATGCAAGGTGTTCCGCAAGGTTCGATCCTGGGGCCAATTTTATTTAATCTTTTCGTATCAGATTTCAACGAGTCTATTTCTTATTGTAAAGTTCACTCCTATGCAGATGACACCCAGATCTACCTTTCATATAATCCTTATGATTTTTTACAAGCCAATACCAAACTGTCAAGAGACCTACAGGCTGCAAATCAATATTTCTCTAGCCATGGATTACTTATACATCCAAGAAAATCCTCTTTAAATCCAAGCTGAGCAATTTTGACAGTATAGTTGTCAAATTTATCTATCGGAGGTGACCCACTCCATCGTAAACTGCAGATAAAAAATGTAGGTGTGCTTTTTGACTCATCGTTGACATTCCATGACCATGTCACAAAAATAGTACAAAGCTCTTATAGTGCCTTGAAAAGCATATATAGTTTCAGACACATACTTTCTGAATTCGCCAAAGTTAGGTTAACTAATTCGTTGATTCTAAGCAAAGTAGAATATCCTGATTCTATGTTTGGTCCTTGCCTGATACAAAATGAATCCTACAGGTTGCAAAAGATTCAAAATGCATGTGTCCGTTATGCATTAGGTGTCCCCCGACGAGAAGGTATATCACCATATTTGACGCGTATTCCATGGTTAACTATGAGAAAAAGGTGGATGGTACATCTGGGCTGTTTGGTTCATTCCGTTCTTTGTAATAAACGCCCCCCGCCTACTTAAAAGATAAATTATCTATGCGTAATCAATATCATAATGCAAATCTTAGATTAGTCAATGATACACTGGATATTCCTGCTCACAATACATCTAATTTTAAAAAATCGTTTTCTATATAGGAGCTGCATTGTATAATAAAATACCGCTTTCAGTCAGGCAGCTACCACTTAGTATATTTAAAGGACAAATAAAGGAGCTCATATTTAGAGACGGCCTATCTATATAACTGTAAACACACTCTTGTTGTTTTTTTTCTAACACTCTTATAAATTATTAAATTTTATTGTAAAGGAGCTTGTAAGCAATTTGTGCCCTGATTAGGGAGTAAGAACAGGTGCTAGCTGAATCGTCGCCAGTAAAATAAAAGGCATTTTATTATTATTATTATTATTATTATTATTATAAAAGTAGCATCATCCTCTGCTAATAAGAGTTATATGAGTCTCAAATGTGACGATGATTCTGATGACAATCAGGATCTGTCTAAGGATATAATTGACAACTTAGAAAATAAATTCGCACAGCAGCAGGCTATTAACGAGTAAATAATGGAGAAAAACGCAAATATGTTGCATGAAATTTAAGAGTTAAGACTAAACCTATCGAATAAGAATGAAATAATAAGCACTCTACAAAAAACTCGGTAATTTGTCAGTGAGCAAACACAGATACAAACCAATATAAATGAATCTGGTACAAGATCCATGGAGGATAAAGTAGCAGACAAACATGGAATTAAATCAACAAATCAGCAGACATATTGACCAAATAATGAAACTTAAGCAAGAACTAGAAGGAAATACGCCGAATACTTACAGTACTATAGAAGGTGATGACCTATCCATAAAACTAAAGGAATAAATGAGCGAAAATATGTTTATCATTCTAAGTCTTAAGAACAAATATACATGGAAATCTATGTGTAAAATATGTCTAATGGGAGCATAGAATTACCGGGGATGAAAGAGTATTTATAATAATAATAAATTTCTTTTTATTTGATTCTTATACAAATATTAATACATATCACTTTCACTTATTACACTTTGGTATTTTTCAACTCAACCTGTCACCAAATTACTACGCAAAGTAATAATCATCCAAATAATATAAAAAAACTAAATTTACAACAAAATGAGTTGATGATTGATAAGTAAATTATATAGATATGAGTGGCCGAATACAAAGAATATATTTTCATCATCTAAATAGTAATATCTTTATCTATTTAGTCCTATAGCACAATGATGAAGGGGTAATGGTTAAAGTGGCTAGAGAATGGTCACATTATTTAGTATAATATTTTTTGATTTTTTCTTGAAGTTCTTCAAAGTGTAATGGCGGTATTCAGTTGATAGATTATCATACACCTTGGCAGCTACGTAGGAAAAACTCTTTTCGTAAAATGGAGGTGTGTGATTAGTTATTGGCTATTTCTAGTTGTTAAGCTGTTAATTGTCTCAAGTATGTGTAACCTCTCGACAAGGCATTCTGGTTTTTAGCTAACTAGAGTTTTATGAACCATAGATGGTAAGGTTATAAGATTTAAGTCTAATTGTTTGTTTTTCTTATAAATGTAGTCGAATTTTCGCAGTAACAGAAATTTTGTAGCCGTTGCAATTTCATTTGCTTAAGAACGCTGTATTGTATGATTTTGAACATAATATTTATTTTACATGAAACTCATATTTTGATTGCGTATCAAGACCAAGGTTTTTACTTATATTTACGATTGGTAGAGGAACATTATCGATAGCTAATTGTCATAGATTTCTAACTACAATTTGTCTTGGTTTTGGTCTTAATATCATAAGCTTGGACTTATTTGGGCTTAGTGTTTAGATATATTATAAAGTGTGCTCAGGTGTAGTATATTTGTTTGTCGTCTGTATAATAGTGAATTTTGCGAAATCGAAGAGTCTGAAATATAAAGAGAATAATAGCGGACTTAGAATAGGACCTTGCGGTACCTCCAAGGAAATCTATAGATGCTTTGTTTGGAAACGCACATTGTATAACAGTGTTCGACCAAGAATGGTTTACTTCTCGACTTAGGTATGTAGTGTACTGTTTCTCCAGCCCCTTCAGGGATTTATTTTTTGGAGACTGGTCCGTTTTAGGTGAAAAACTGTATAAAAGTTGTATCGCACGTCTATGTACATCATTGTCTCTAGACAGATACTTGAGGTTGATATCCAAGCGTGCAAGACTTTTAGACCCATACGTTCTAAAATAATCACATATTATTTTAATTAGCTGACAATTTAACTAAGGTACTGGTTGAAACTAGGAGCAAGCACGAATGCTCGACTCGATTTCCCGAAGATAACATAATGAGAGTTTTTTTGCTGCAGCTCTTCTCTCTACTTTATTTAATAATCCAGTCGTTCGAGGTGAGGTTCGTTGGATATTTGAGGTTATGATATATTTGAATTCCAAGCCGACGATTCTCTTTTGATATTTGACTTAGAGCCGTATCGTCACTCGCTCCTGCAATTAATTGTAGGACGCCTTTATGTCCTCCTTGATTTTCATAGTTTCCTACTCTGCCGTGTCAGCGCTCTATTTTGAGGTTATGTTACAAATATCTTGCATCAAATTTTTCATACTTTTTGTAGGAACGACTGACGATATGGCCCTTAGTCGTATAATTTCTCGCGCGGGGCCCTAAAAGCTAATCAGCCAAGAAATAACATAAATGTTTCATGAATTAGTTCTGTTTATCAGTTATAAATCACATTTTTCGCGGGTAAAAAGCGCTCGCGAAAAATGTGATTTATAGCTTTATGAAAACATTTGCAGTAACCACTCACAAAAATTTCGCCGTTGCACTTCGTCGCCGGGTTTCAGACATTGCACATGTAATGTAAAACCTACCGATTTAAAATTCCCCACGCAAGGTTTAGGGAACATGGTAACTGGGCTGCAATCCACATGGTACTTGAACTAAGATCGTCCAATGCCAAATTAATCACTTCCAGTTCCTCTTGGTCAGTATGCCGGACACCATAGCCTCTAACTCCAGGCAAGTTTGGCAATTTCATATTGCCGAAGTATTTGAAATGAACGCGTAAAAACCTTTGGGGTAGGTTAGCGTCTGTTAAGGTGGGTCCAGACATGCAACAAAACTCCGTGTAATAACACCGTCCCGCAACAACTATGTGTTACGCGTCTAAGTCACGGTGTGTACTTTTTTTCATACCATCGCGTATCTTCAAAGCAGAACATTCTGTCGTTCCGTTTTTCCTAGTGCGTTTATAATGGAAGTCGCCGCTGCTGCCTATATATTCATGCATTATTATGTTAAGAAGAATCAAAAAAGCGAAGAGAAAAACGTTTTTGGCAGAGGCAGTTGTTCGTAAAAAGAAATGTGTACAGTGGAAGTAATTTGCTCATAGACTTGAAAATGAGCGGCCTCTACAAAAATTTCACCAGAATGTCCGCAACAGACTTTGAGTATTTGATTAATTTGATTGGACCCAAAATATTACGAAAAGATACCAGCTGGAGAAAGGCAATTTCTGTACAAGACAGATTGGCAGTTACGCTTCGATTTTTGGCGACTGGTGATTCCTTCACAAGTCTTCAGTACCTCTTTAAAATATCTAAGCAATCTATAAGCACTATAGTTTCTGAAGTGTGTGAAGCAATAATAGAAGGATTACATGACAATATACATGTAAAAAAATAAAGGTTTGACACAATAACTCTATATTTTAAACAAAATATTGCTTACATTAAATAAACTGTTGCTCACATTAAACATTTGCACTAACTACAAGCTCTGTAGTTCAATGTGGGACATATCCAATAACTCGTGTGGCAAAGAAGGAGGGAGAGGAGTATTATTGTCACTCGAGGTAGAGGGATTTGAATTACCATAACTATATGTTGGAGATGACAACTGTGATGGCTCTTGATTAAAACAGGATTCTTGGTTAGCCTGATAATTCGAAAAAAATGAGTGAATAGTGTCAGTACGTTGTGGTGGGGATTGGAAATTGCTTGAATTTTGGCGAATATGGATGCTGTCTGCCTTAAATAAAATATTCATAATCGCTTGTTGTGTATTAGTCTGCAATTCAGGCGAATATTTAGCCAATTTTTTAGCCACAAGATTTCCAAATATCTGACATTCGTTGTGTCCTTCTGGGTTATTGGCGTTTGCTGATGCTTTTGACAGTATCTGAAAAGCTCTATCTAATTTATCAGAATCTTCACTTTTTCTTTGCTGTTTTCTAATTGGTGTTACATCCGTCAATTTTCTTTTCGGTCTATTATGTATAACCTCCTGAGTCTCCTTCACAACGTCGTTATCTGTCAATGTTGATTCACCATCAGATACCTCATTATCATCTGTTTCTTCGTCTTCAATCTGTAATTAAATAGTAGTCCTAGTCATTTACAAGAATATTCACATTGCGATAGAAAATAAAGATATCAGTTATTTGTGGGCATATCGCGTAATTTCTCATGACACAATTTGTTCTAATTGTTGCAGATACCGAGAACACCAGAATCATGGCTGGACGTGGCAAAGCAATTTGAAAAAACCTGGAATTTTCCGCATTGCCTTGGAGCTTTATATGGAAAGCATGTGGTTATTCAAGCACCATGCAACACTGGAAGCGAATTTTTCAACTACAAATCTACGTTCAGCGTTGTTCTTTTCGCCTTAGTGGATGCTAATTATAATTTTTTGTACGTCAATGCTGGTGGCCAAGGGCGAATTTCAGATGGTGGCATCTTTAAAGATTGTTCACTTTACAAAAAACTACTGAAAAATCAGTTGAATTTTCCTGAACCAGAAACTTTAAAAGGCATGCAACGGAAAATTCCTTATTTTTTCACTGATTCACTAATGAAACCGTTTTCGGGAACGCATCTCAAAGGATCCATACAAAGAATATTCAACTATAGATTATCTCGTGCTCGAAGAACTGTAGAAAATGTGTTTGGTATTGCTTCGGCCGTTTTTCGAGTACTCCGTAAACCCATGTTACTTGAACCCGCAAAAGCTGAAATAATTGTAATGGCAATAGCTCATCTACATAACTTCTTGAGAAAAAGCTCTACATCTTCTACTTTGTATATGCCACATGACATGCTCGATACCAAATCACCTTTACCAAGAGCAACAAATGAAACAATGTCTTCTCCATTGCCACTTAAAAATATTCCCCGAAAACCAACTGATAACGCGAAAATAATCAGAGACGAATTGGCACTATACTTTCAAAATGAAGATCCACTTGTGTATCAAGATAAGTATGCGTAACACAATACTTACGGTACTTTTTGTCTGTCGAACTTTATTTTTGTCCCAAAGAAACAGCAAGCTTTTGAAAGCAAACCAACTACTTTCATACACATCAGAACGACCTGCAATGAATATAATATGTTCGATATGTTAATAAGTAAATAAAATACATAAATAAAAAATATAATGTAATTATTCACATTTACCTGTTCCTGTGCCTTTGCTTTTTTTAATTTTTGCTTTTTCTCGCCTAAGTGCCGACAATAACACATTCATTTTCTTTTTGCATTCATCTATCGTGGTTTTAAATTCTACAGCGAGCTCATTCCAAGAATCGTTTTTCTTTATTTTATTATAATACTGGGAATTTTGTGGATCCCACAAAATTTCTTTGCTTCTATAACTGTTAATGAATTTAATCGTTACTTCTTCAGTCCACTCCATAATAAACCTGTCAGTATTACTCAAAACACAGAAACAAAGTAGATCGCACCTTTGTTACGCAGACCAGTCCAAACCTGCAATCCAGTGGTGCAGCATCAGCGCGCATCGTTCCTTTGATGCGACACCAAAATACCGACATCTCGTGGGACGCCTCGATGTTACTATGTTGCGGGGTTACGTTGATACGCTCCAACGTCTACACTTGTTACGCAGTGCTGTTACGATACGGTGTTTTGTTGCATGTCTGGACCCACCTTTAGGTGATCTACGTTGATACTCCCGAGAAGCCGCTAGAGCATTTCCATGACAGAATCCGTACACAAAAATAATAACGGCGGACTCATCATCATTGCTAAATTCCATTGCACAACACTCAAAAATGGGAAAAACAAACTTTTGACATGACTTTTACAAAAAAAAAATGGTAGTAGTAACCTACTGTATAGCACATAACTTTGACAAACTATCTCCCAAAAAATGTCAAGTTGATATCAAGGCCTCCTATTTTATTTTGAAACTAATTTTATCTCGACTCTTCGTCAACGGTCTAATTTGTTTTATTTTTATTTTGACGAAAACAGTGCACTCCGGGAAGAAACACAAGAGCACTTATTTTTAGCAAATTGGTCTTAAAATTTGAAAAATTCAAAAGAATATTGGCGAATTATTCTTTTTTTGAAAAATAATTCCACTAATCCCCTGTATCTCCGTCACTGGTGCACGCTCATTTCAAGTAAAGACTTTTGAATGTGGACAATACTTAGGTAAATCCGCATATCAAATTTTAGTTCATTTCAGTTGACGGCTTTGAAGATATTATTTTATTTTTAAACTTGTCTAGGCAAAAATGTTACATGTAAGACCCCCCTTAAAATGCGGTCCTGTGTATGATGTTTCATTTTTGGTCACGACTTGTGCCCTATATAGGGTGCTTTCCAAGATAAATGTCTATAAACAAGTCACTAAAGTCGGATGCAAAGGGAATTGACGGCCGGTCTTTGACAATGATCCGATTGTGCCTACAGGTTGTTCTCTTCCACATCGTAGACATCATTAATCATTGTTCAGAATATGGGTACTTTCCAACAGCATGGAAAATAAGGCTTATCCGTTTACCACCTATTTTATCTAAAATACTGGAGAAACTGGTAAAATTATAACTAATCACTTATCTTGAAAAATACTCAATAATTCTTTCTTTCGCGGTTCTTGATTTGCAAGATAATATTTTAGCACCAATCATGAATTAATGCTATTTAAAATTAAATTACATAGACATCAGTAGCTTAGCTGTTACATTTTTCGGAAGTTATCTTGATCAAAGGACTCAATGTGTTTGCATTGATCAAAACTCTTCTGATGTGACTACAATTCCCTCAAGCGTTCCTCAACTTATGTTAGTACCGTTATTATTTTTGATATATACGTTTGACTTGAAAAAATCCTTGATAATTCACACTATCTTTTGCAGACGACACAATTGTTGCATTATTGTAATCCCCAGAATGTCGAAAATACTACAGAAGCTTTACAAAACGATTTCAGTAATTTAATTGATCATAATCTGGCTGTCAACCCTCAAAAGCCTAAAATGTTATTATTTTGTTTCCAAAAAAAAAGAAGTGAGGTTCAAATAGGTAATCAAAACTTACAATTCTCAGAATCTCCAAAACTTGTTGGTGTTGTTTTTGACACAAAATTAATATTCATCGTACATGTAAAAAATCGTTGACAGCAACCTTTTCTAATTCCATATCTGTTCTAAATTACTGTAATGATACTATCCATATTCAGACAGCTATAGCAAAAAACCCAATTCAAATCGTCCAAAATAATTGTGTTTGTTTTACTTTTGAACTCCGCAAAAACGATCGTAAAATATCCAATTCTACATTGGTTGAAAATAAATAATTTGTTAAATACCACAACCCTTTTTTCATCCATACTCATTTAACAATGAAATTCATTCTAGACCATTCCATTATTATTTTTTTGCCATGCATTCCATTATTATCGGCATTATGTTAAGCTAGCCGATTTTCATTATAAACTCAAATAGCTTCACAATGACTGAAGATAGGTATAAACTTTATTATACAAAAGTTACTAAAACATGGAAATTCTGAAAATTAAAAGAATAAATAGTGGTTTTTATTTAGAACTATTATCATATATAAGCAATATCTTATTATTTGATCACCGTGTATTGTACGGCTATATATGAAAAGACGTCCTCCTAGAAATCAAAATTGACGTGTCCGAGCGTTTTCCCCAAAATATATACCAGGAGAGTCACAAATGGGAGTGTGACCTTCTCGTTGGGCCACCATGTATATCTTTTATGTCTGAGTGTTGTTTATTATAGATTTGAAATAGAAACTGTTGGCACCATGAGCTCATATAAAAGTAATACGTTGGGTACTCAAAAATGGGTGCATTATGGATAAAAAGTGCCATAATTGTGTACTTTAATCTTTAGAAATATCGGATTTTCCGATAGGGACTTGACAACTTTGAACTTTCACTGTGAACGCACCTTTAAATCAATTACCGAACTGTCAATGTCAAAGCATTCAGAAAAGATTTTCATCATGGTGAAGTACACGAACGAACCACGCTTACAAAAATTACAATTTGCTACCGAAATTCCGAGTCGGTGACTGCAAGTTTGAAAGCGTTAACGCCAATCTTTGGTCGTAATTCTCGTCCCAGTAGACAAGAAATTCATAGTCTTTTAAAAAAGTTTGAGTCCCATTATCCACCGCTGAATGTTTCCGTGCCAGTGTGATAACGGGTTGGTCGAGGTGCCGAGAATATTGCTGCCGTTCAAGCTTCTGTCGCAAACGAACATAACACGTAGATTCCGCGGCGTTCTCAAGAACTGGGCATCGCTCACTTTTTTTTTTTGGTGAGGGGGGAATGCATTTACGCACCTTACCATAGCCCGAGCTATGGCGTATGTGGGACTCCAGGTTGTCTTGAGGAGACTACCTAATACTTACTAAACCCTAACCTCTGTGTGGCCCGACTCATCCATGTGTTGTGCGTGACCTACGGTCTGCTACAACGTCTCATGTGTTTCAGCCTCTGGGAACGCCGAATTGGTTCCCTTTACCTCGCACATTCTATCGATGTCGTTAAGCGATCATCGATAGAGGGTCTGCGAGGTTATCTTGAAACTCTTGTTTTCGAAAAATCAAGAGTTTCAAGTCCTCTTACCTATATATTGTTCCTGGTCCTGGTCCTGATGGGTCCTGGTCGTGGGGGGTCCTGGTCCTGGTTGGTCCTGGTCCTGGTGGGTCCTGGTCCCGGTGGGTCCGGGTCACGGTAAGACCACACTATAACGAATTTTGGGAACAGATCTTGGCCTGCACCCTTATAAGATCAAGTTAACTCAAGAACTAAAGCCGTTCGATCATATGAACCGACGTTCGTTCTCGAAATGGGCTCTAGAAATGTTGCAGGAAAAGGACCAATTTCATCTGCAGTGATGAGGCGCATTTATGGCTAAACGGCTTCGTCAACAAACAGAATATGCATTATTGGTCAGGTGAAAACCCTTATGTGCTTCAAGAAACACCACTTCGGGTGGATTTCACCAGGATTGTCAAATCAACAGTCCGTTATTCTCCACCTATAGGGTAACAGTCCGTCAAATACAGCGAATAAGCTTCAAGTTCCAATCAACAAATTTTAGCAACCAACAGCTATGGAATGTTGAAAACAAAATACTGTCAAAGTATGAGATGGCAGCTTGTGATTGAAACATCACCATCTTATTGAATATCAAGAAATTACATATAATTTAGTCAACATTTAAAAAAGTGTTCGATTTTTGAATAAAATTCATGTTTTTATTTAATATTATCGATTGTTTATTCATGTTCATATATTTTTCTTAAATTGAGATGCGATTTTACTGATTCAATATCACCTACCGTATGTTTTTTCCTATAAACCTCTTGCAGGTAGCCATTAAGCACCTACTTGATGACATTTGTTCACTTACTTGCCGTTAATCAGTACCATTATAGCACCGTCGATTGATGTTCCCACAAAACCATTCAGGATTTGTGATATCCCTACATCGATGAAGTCAAATATTTTTTGGTTGTTTAGGAACTGAACAAACATCCACACTATATTTATAGCGATTAAAAAATACTCAAATATATGTCGTAAAGCTACCGGTAAACTTAAATCCTGCAAAAAATAGAATTTACAATAATTTTCTTGTTTCACTGAGTACACATTCTAGGTTATATTTATATTAGACATTATTTGAATAACAGCTGCTTATTACATTTCAAAACTCCCCAACGAGTGACACATGTGTGGGATCCGTCAACCCTTGGTCCCAGTGGAGTAAGCTCCGCCAACTGTTGAAAACTCTACTATGCTTTATAAGACCATACGTGGAATTTTTCCCAAAATCGTTGCACAACACTTGAAAAAATGCAAATGAAAATTTCAAAATATATCCATGACGCCGCGAAATAGCTCGGTCGGTACCTCGGGTTATACACCTTCACAGTAGGGATGTTCAATACGATCCTATATTTAGAAGTATCGATACTTTTACTTCCCATACCCGATATTTTGGATCGATATTTTTATATACGACACTTGGGTGTATCGATACATTTCACGAGTATCGTCACCTTTTGATCCGGACTGTGTCAGAATGAGTGACTAACTTCAGATTACTTTTCTTCTTTGTTTCCTTCCGCTGGATATCGATAATTTTATTACAATATTTTCGCGTATCGATACTTCCTAAAACGATAAGAATCGATACTTTTCGTGGATCTAAACATCCCTAATCTTGACAGCTTGTCGTCGTTCTTGTCAACTGGGCTGCAGGGTGCGGTGTTGCCTTTACTATCTTACATTTTTCTAAAATCTTATGCCAAATAAAAGCCTCAAATGAAATATTGATGAATATGAACGGATATGCATAGAATTTAGTATATAAATTCACATTGCAAATTTCAGATTGTCTACGCATGGACTTGAACCGGATTTTTCGGTATGTTTACAGAAAAGAGAATATTCACCGATAACATCATTCTCCACGATTTTTCAAAATAATTTAAATATTTCTATACTTGCCGAAAAAGAGCTGAAACCAAAAATAAAGCTAAAAGTTAATTTTATGTAGTCTTCATAGTTTTATGTCCCATATCAATCATACATATGCATACACACTCAGGCAGTCGGACACACGAGGGGTGTAGATTTGGCCTGCCTATGATTACGAACGCAAATCATCATCCCTTACTCCGCTTGCCCTGAATTGATTTTTGTGCATTCAAAAGGTACAGACTGGTAGATTACCGTCATTACCTCATCACTGGACAAGCAATAAAGAAACCGAAACCTGCCTGTTTTAAAAATAAATATTTAATTAAAATGAGAGGTGAGTTCATGAGCTCAGGGGTAAAACAGAAAAATATTCACAATCCTATAAGCAAGAATCGAATAAGGAGTTTCCAGAATGGTTGAAAAGTACTTTAAAAGAGCGACCAGTATGCACATTGTAGAAGTTGTAATACAGAACAATGCCCTCAATAAACATGTGTGCGCGCCCAATACAATAACAGACGTTTTTCATGTCTCATAGGTCCTTGATCTACCACTGATCTCAGGACGGCATTTACCTTATACCGAATACAACGACACTATTTACCGATTCCGTTTTTTTGCCGGTTCGGCAACACTGCAGATGTGCAGATCACTTTAAAAGCAATGGATATCCCAGACGTGTTATTATAATGGAAATATCAAGAAAATTTAACAAAGTTTGGAGATATATTTTCATAAATAGGTATTTTTGTTTCTGACTTATATCTAGACGATGAGTAATAGGTGGATGCGGATATTTTTACAAATATCCAAGTTTTAGGACCCAGAAATGCAGATGTGCTGTTTGTTTACATTTGGTGTGGATTTATAGATCATAAATTGGCAAAAATTGTTTTTTATGTAACAAGAGTAGTTGGAATACGTTTTTTGCAAAATAATAAAAATCGGTACATTTCTATAGGTAGATATTATGTACAATACCCTGTAGGTGATATACAGACAAAATTAGATTGTCATGCATGAACAGTCGTCAAAAACAGTGAAGACATTCTAGTTAATATAATAGCTAGAAAATCGACCTCATTTTCATTGGTCGATTTAAATAACTGACCGCCTTTTGTGAAATGATAAAAATTTGAAATTCTATGAAAGTTATCCTAATTCTAAAGCACAAAGACATAATATTACATCTATAATGTACCCTTATTTATATGGCAACCGTTTTTTCACGACGTTATTCAACATTTCAATAGAAATCACTGATATTCAGGGAGCTTTCACAGCTTCCGTCAAATTGCATTTCGGTGAGGTCTTTTCCTATTGGTCCAATTGACCGTCACACATTAATGTTGAAATCCCTTCATCCATAAAAAATAACTGTATGGTGGTTTTCATGCCGGTTGTGTCATTGGGCCGTTTTTTTTTCCGTTGATGAAAGTGACCGTTTTGTTACAGTCAACGGAGATCGCTACAGAGACATGTTGCAACGTTATTTTTTTGGTCAATTGGATGGGCTAGATATTAATGATGTGTGGTTTCAACAAGACGGTGTTACAAGCTACGTGCGGGTGAAACAATCGACATAGTGAAATCAAAATTCGGTGAACATGTCATATCGAGAAATGGTCCTGTTGAATGGCCGCCTAGATCGTGGGATTTAACACCTTCAGATTTTTTTTGTGGGGTACATTAAGTCATTTTCCTATGCCAACAAGCTGGCGTCGTTAGAGGAGCTCAGAACCAATATTGAACGAGAGATAGCGGCCGTTTCTGTCGAAATGTGTGGCCGAGTCATTGAAAAATGGAATCAATGAATCGATCGCTGCGAACGTGCCCTGGACGGACATATCAACGAGGTCGAATTCCATACATAAATGTCTCGAGTATACTTCAATCCAATAATAAAAATTTCGAGATATCTCAAATGGTTTGCGTTTTATTTGAAAAGAAAGTTGTCAAGTCCTGAATGGAAAACGCTTTAGAATAGTAAAATAAAAATAAACTTGTTGATGAAAGTTTAAAGTATGTAAGGTATCTGCGGGTAATAAGGCCTAGCTAAAGAAAAATGTTCAGAAAATGAACAACACATCTAGTTAGTTTTGAATTTTTATTGGTAATATGTCCAGCAATGCCAAACAACTGATTTATAAACTTAAAAGTAAGATATTTTCTACTACTTATGAAATACGTATAAAACAAAAAATTCAAAAACAGTGCAACTAGGCCTTATTAAACGATGGTAAGGGAATAAGGCCTATCACTAAAACAACATAAAAAATGTCTATTAAAGTAGAAATATTTGGTATTTGAGATCAAACTTAAACACATTATCACTGATAACAAAAATAGATGCCTACGGTGTGAGATAGGATTTTAACTACAATCGGGGCACTCAAAAGTATCAGGGTCTTCTTGTGTTAACCCAACACACTCTTCATGATATCATTTCTCACATTCTGTGCACTGCCGCATATCAGCTATTTTATCTTACATACACGCATGACAATACCAACTTGCCTTCACCTGCTTCGAATCAGCGCTTTTTCCAGTATTAATCGTTTCACTGCTTCTTTTACTTTCCTTAAAGAGATCTTTAGTAACCAAAGTTCCCGTGTAATTTATTGCTTTTTTTTCGAATTGGGTGTGCCTTTTCAGTTTGATTTATTGAAGTTGGAAAGAGTTCATGGAAAGAAGTGTCTAAAGTAGTTTCACCCACTTCATCAGCTTTGTCTTCAGAAGAATCCGACGAAGAGACCAGTGAATAAAAATGTTTCTTCCCATCTCCAATATTTTTCGAGGAAGATGAACGGGCTTCGTTAGAAAACTTGCTGGGCGTCCTTTCAGCTGCTTGTCTAGATGTTGACGGTTGGTGATATTTGGTCTCATTTAACTTGTTTTTAAGTTTTGCAAGAGGCACCTCATCCTCATCAGACCATTTAGCTTGTTTTTGGATATGACGACCTTCAGTTGTTCGTGGCACTTTTCTTGAACTTGATACTTTGGAAGAGGGATTAGGCGCATTCTCATTGGCTACAGCCTCGATTGCTGGTTGAGCTGCAGCTAACAATATAGATGGTGCAAACGCTGTTTCCGGAATCGCCTGGGAATTAAGAGGAAATAAACCAGTAGCCCTAAAGCCATTGGTGATATTGCTGTAAGTCATGCATTTGGACCAAACGTAAGAAAAAATAACACTAAATCGTGCCTTTGTTAACTTTTTGTCTGGATTTTGGTCTAAAAATGATAAGAGTTCTGCATCCCAATGATGTTCAAACGAGCGGTATACAGACTTATCGAGGGGTTGTAATTCATGAGTTGTATTGGACGGCAAACAATACAAATCGATATCTAAAGAATCTCCCACGTCGACAATTGACAAGTTCAAATGGCAAGCTGCGCCGTCAAAGATCAAAAGGCATCTTCTGGGGCTTTTGTATTTGGCTAGATGATTTAGGAAATCTTTAAATAATTCATTAGTCATGTAACCTTTGGCTGACTTAGCTACAAGAGTCCCTGCTGGTAGGTTATCATATAATTCTAGCTGTAACCTTTTACCCTTGAAAATAACCATTGGAGGTATAGTACAACCCAATGCGTTCACACACCCAGCAATAGTGACAGTCTCAGCATGTTCCGATGACTGTAAATGGACTCTTTTAGCCCCTTTTTGCGTCAGTACAGTTTGTTGGTGGTGCACCGTCAGCCTGCAACCCTTTTCGTCCATATTGTATATTCGCTCGGGGTGGTTTTTTAGGTCCAGCTGATCGTAAAGTTTACTGATTTTAGCAAAATGGTCATCCACTATAAATTTATTTAACTTTTGTGCTCTCGCGGGATTCATAAATTGCGCTTTTCGCTTGGAAATAATCGGGTTTCTCTTCATGAAAGCTGATAGCCAATCTTTGCCTGCCGGTTTTAGATTAATATTAAAAATGTGCTTAATGTTGTTCATTTCGCAAAATTTGTAAACCAGACGACGAAGGATTCGGGGTGTTATCGGCAAACCTATTTCAGCGAATCTAATTATTCTGCTTACCAGCTCAGATTCTTTGTCTTTGGACAGTATGGCTTTGCGACCGAGGGTTTTCTTTACATTGCCAGTCTTAAGATGATTTCGAATCGTTCTTCGAGGGATATTATATCTTTCTGCTGCCGCATATGTGCTCAAAACATTTCTCTCTACTGCGCAAACTGCTGCCACTAGCTGTTCCGCTGACCAAAGTGCCCTTCTTCTTTTAGGAGGCATCGTAAAGGTCTCTGAAAAGTTTGTTGATTTGTCACAAATACACATTCTTCAGAACAGCTATAAACTCTAATAATGAACGGAATGTGATAAAAGATGCATATCTTTTCATTACTACATTTTATTATGATATATACAAAAGGAGGGTAATAAGGCCTATAGTGGAATTTTATAAGCCTTATTATCCGCCAGGCAAATTTTACAAAAAAAATATAAAAAGTATTTTGCCCCAAATATCTGAGTCAGACCAGAAGTGATCACAAGATGCATGAAACAAGGAAACTCTCAAAGCTAAGAAAAACGAATTTAACAAAATAGACCAAAAGAAACTTACGATTTTTTCCTATGCTTTTTTACTGTTGTTACAAGGCACACTCACTCGATTAGATATGTTATTGCACTGACGACGACCATGTGGAAATTAATTTAGCGCGGTCGGTGTTCAATCCAAGGTCATCTAAAGAGCAATTGTTAACCAATAGTATGCCCGTAAAACAACTTGGAAGCATTATTTTTGTTATTAGGTCTTATTACCCGCTAGGCCTTATTACTCGCAGGTACCTTATGTTCTAAAATATGCAAATACGGAAATCCCATTGAAGCGATCAATTTGGAATTTGAGTGATTTTCAGGCCCCGCTCATAGCCCCTGGATCGTATATTAAGTTAACAATTCTCGAGAGTAGATCTTCGGGTATTACAGAATCATTTGTGTATAACAAAAATAATATATCTAATGCACGAAATGACCCTATTGAAAATGCCATGGTGCTTGGTCACAGACGACACAAGTTGTATTGATACCAGTTGCGGTTTTTATAGAGAATGACTTTCGAGCAGTCGTGGAATCAATTTTCTTCTATTATGTTTGTGTGCGTGTTTTTGCTGTGAATGGTTTGAGTGGGCTTTCGAGACCAACGAAGTTGACGGTTCGGAACGGTGCAGCCCATATGTCGGCCAAGTGCCGAGTGCCGAATGCGGTCCACATAATCACGGGACAAACCAAAAGCAACCTATAATTATCAAAAACTATCTAGTATTAAATCGAGCATGATTTCGACTTTCTATTTGCTATCGAACACATGTCTTGACAATCTCTCTATATGCCACCGAAAAGGCAAGCAGATTGCCTTGGAAGTTTCCGAGCAGTTTTTAAATCACGTGTTCTTCCACTCAACTTTATTTCTAGTTATTGAAGCTATCCCGTAAAAAGGATATACGAGGGATGTCTTTTATGCATATGGAAATAAAACAACACGGTAAGTAGTTTTAAACGACTTTATTGTTTTTCGGAGTATTCTCCACGAAGATTAATACATATCTGCATGCGCTCGAAACAATTTTCGAAGCACTTATTCCACTCGTTTGCTGGCAGATCCAAAACGGCATTTTTGAATGCGCCAACTGCTACTTCTGGTGACTGGTACCTTTGACCACGCAGTCTGTTTTTAATTTTCGGGAAAGTAAAGAAATCGTTAGGAGTATATCGTCGCCTTTCTCACGAAGTGTTCTAACTGACAAAATACCAAAAATTGAGATAACCCGCATATAGGTGTATTATTCCATGCTAGTTAATCTGACGAAGAAGCATAACTATATATCTATTAGTGTGGGCAGCCCCTGGGTGTCTTATCTGCAAAAGTAAATTTATGATTCCCACGAAGAGACCTAAATGAAGATAAGTCCCTTAGTATCCAATAATCCCAGTTAGTATACGCTCCTCGGTGGTGGAATCATGGCCAAAGTGAGGGAGAATCTGCTCACAGTGCAATTCATACTGCGCTAAAGGGAGTTGGAGATCTTTTTGAACCCTCATAACTCTACCTGGTTTTTTTATTCGCCACGTCAACCTTATTTAGTAATTCCCAATGAATTGTTTGACTTCAAGAAACTTTCGAAAGATTTAAGAATATTGTCCACACGGCAAACTGAGGAAGGGCAAAATATTAAACGGAGTTTATTGTAATAAAAGACACGCCCACCAAAATATGTTTTAAGTCTAGCGACCACGATACTAGTTATGACAGTATTGAGTTAAAAAGACTGATGAGAAATAGTAATAATATAAATAATATTAAACTAGAACAACTAAAAAATAACAAAAAAGAAGTACTCCGACTTAATTTCGTTATGTAAAATCTAAAAAACGCCAGTTAGTTGTACGCTTACCAGAATTCCAAAACTCTTGAAAAATTTACCCCATGAAACGGAATGAATTATTGATATTTTTGCATTTTTTTATGTATCACAACATATCAACATTTTCTGGTAATATGTCAAAATATAATATTTAAGTTAGTTGCTTTTCTTTTAGTTTTTATTTCAATAAAAATTGCTTTGACGTTTCGAGTTGTTTTCTTCATCTAATCACGTAATATTTTTGTCATAATCTACAACAATTTTAGGCATGGACAATGAGGAAAATATTTTAGGGGGTAGCCAAAATTCAAACGTTGATCTGAACTTTTTTACATAAACTCTGCTGTCAGCAGACCAAGCATTACCTAAAAAATTAAACTATCAACAAATTTTCTGAGATAATCGCCCCCTTGGCTGGAAATATGACTCTTTGCTTATAAGTAAATCAAACAAATTCTGTATATCTTAAAAAAGTATAATAACAAGAGCTTCAATAAAAATGTATTTTAGCTCTATCTGACTAAAATCAGAAAATTCTCACGAAGTGACCTACTGGCGTTTTCCATTTTTTTCCAAAATAACTTGATAAGCTACCGCAAATATTGAAACGCCATATGATTTACAAAGAATGTAGGCTAATACACTTGCATTTTCAATTCGGAAATATCTAAACTTTACATATAATGCTCAATCAACAACACGCTGATTTCGTTTTCTTGCTCTCCTGTAAAATTCACTAACCGTTGGTTAGGACACTTCGTGACAAAGCCGACGATATGGAGGATGGTCCAATAATTCCACGTTTCCTTCCGTTAAATACTGCCTTGTTTTTTGGGCTGTGTGCGAGCTTGCATTGTCTTGGTGGAGGATGATGCTTCTTTCGGGGTTGATTTTTCGAAGCTCGGTGATCTCTTTTGGCAAACAATTGGTGGTACACCAATCCGCAGTAACAGTTCTTTGCTCATTAAGAAGAATTGTTGCAATATGATCCGCTTTTGACACAAATGTCGCGACCGTCTTTTTCGAAACACTTCGAGAACGGATGACTTTTGTTGGCTTTTCTTCACCTTGGAACACTCAAACAGCCGACTGTCGTTTATTCTCTGGTTCATAACAGAAAATCCACGATTCATCACCACTAACAATGCTGTACACATTTTTTGAGTTTCCGGAATTGAAACGGTCAAGCGTTTTTTGACACCAATTAACCCTGGCTGCTTTCTGCTCTTCAGTCAACAGGTGGCCTAATTCTTCATGTAAAATTTTTTGAATTGAGGTCTTTGAGATCTTCAAGGATGCCTCAATCGCGCGATGTGTCACATGTCTATCTTCAATGATGGGATCGTCGCTAAGACTCTCCCGTCCACGTTTGAATTCTCCATACCCACGGGAACTTGTCGACCGATGTGGCGCTTCGTTGCCGAAAACAGACAGTAACTCAGCAAGGCATTCTTGTTGCGATAATTGTCTCTGAAAGTTGTAATAAATTATGGCGCGAAAATATTCTCGGTTGAGTTCCATTTTTCTAATGACTTGGTGACACTTAAAAATTCACTGTAGTGAGAACATTGCACGTATTGTTGTGAAACTTTGAATTTAGGTTTACTAAAGAGTGAGTTTAAGATTCAGACGTTCGATCCGCGCGGCCTACTATATTTCTATATGCAAAACTTAAAAGACATCCCTCGTAATAGCGTTGTTTGAATTCGCGTTATGTTTTAGGGAGATGGCATATCGAAAGAAACTATATAATTTCTCTGTGCATGTCCCCTTGTTGATATGTTACCGTTCGTGTTTATAACGCATTCAATTTGTGGTCTCTGACGGCTTCAAATCAAAATCATACATACCAACAACGAGAGTGCCACAAAATAACAACTTGGATCTCCTACTATTTTAGATTTTTTTAATGATATCAACCATACAATGACAGTAGAAAACCAAATCTTAGCGGATGACTGAAAATTTTACTCAGTAATTCATGGTGCTAGAATAATGATCTGATGATGCTTAATCGCAGCGAGTGTAAAGTAATGTCCATTTCCAGGAAACAGTCTATCATACTATATGATTATATAGTGGACAATCACAAACTTGACAGAGTACAGGAAGCGAAAGGCCTAGGCATTACTATTATTCCAGATATGACATTTTCAACACACTCAAATCAAATAGTTTTACGTATGTTTGGATTCACTATTAGAAGTTGCAGACCTTATACAGGGTGGCTGATACGTAACTGACTGGTTTGTATCTTGAATATTTTTGAAATGAAATAAAGTACGTCCATTTTAATCTTTTATTGAAACTTAAAATTTATGTATGAGAATTAATATCAGACAAATGTCCGGCGCTAGAAGCCGCGCAAACCTAAGCCCTCTTGATTACATTTTGCATCACCTTTTGGTAGGTTTCGGGCGGAATATTTTCAACCGCTTCCGTAATATTGTTCTTCAGCCACTCTACAATATTTGGTTTTTTGGCATAAACCCTATTTTTCCCCATAAAGAGTCAGGAGCCGTTAAATCCGCTGACCTTGGTGACCAGTTGACATCACTAGATCGAGAAATTAAACGTCCCGGAAATATTAATTTTATAGTAATTTATATAAAAAATTATTTTTTCTAGCTGTGTGGGCATGTGTATCTACTTTTGTGGTTGCATATGTACATTCATTTCAGGCCTGATGAAGCCAACAAGCAGAAATACGTATTGCTCGGGTTGCCTATCCTACTTTCTGCTCGAACCCACTTTCCCTTGTTGCGGATTTTGCCCATTATTTTCCTATTTTTTTGTCCGCAGGATCATTTTCTCTCTCTCTATATATATATATATATGTATGAGAGGAGACTGTCTTCAAACTTAGAAACAGTTCACTGACGTGAATCTATGTTGATTTTTCAGTACGTTTTAGTATGCATCTTTATGTACTTTATTAGTTGGGGCTTTTTGTTTGATTTCTGATATACGTAGACTTTTTTTAGTATCATCAATCCATGATACTATTTGTTGAATGTATGTCTATTTGTTTTTCATCACTGATGTAGTATGTATCTGTAATTGCATCTCGTATCTGTTGAGAAACATATGAATAAAGTAAAATAAATTAACACGGGCAAGAACAATCAGTGACTATGAAATCTGGATAGTGGTTACTTTGGCAGGTAACAGATATTTTCTGTTTCACGAGTATCCATTACGGTAGAATAGCATTTGTATCAGAGAAAATTTAACGTAACAGTCTTTCGAATAAGCTTTATATAATCTAATTGACGACAGAAGTGTGTAGGAAGTACAGACTCGACATACTGATGTTGTTTTTTTACTACAAACTAAATGGGACAAAATTTTATATGGGACTGGAATTAACCCCAAAGCAGTCTGATGTAACTTCAGCTCCAAAAATCCCAGGAGGCTGATTCTAAATGAATTTCGACTGTTGAAATTAATTTCGATGTCACGTGTCCGACATACATATAAACCGCTATGATTATTTGACACCTGATTCTAGCGAAATTTCATAGTTAAAATATCATGGCAGTGTCAAAGTTTATCAAATTAATATATGACGGCGTCATCGAAATGTCAACGGTTGAACTTCAATTAGAGTCAGTCCCCTGGATTCCCGGTTTCTATGACAACTTTCTCCAAATGCTCCAGTTCTCTGTAAGATTAAAGTCCCATAGATTTGTATCATCTTACTATTAGTTTGGAACGCGAAACACACTTGGTGGAACCGTTGACAGAAAATCTCAAAAGTCTTTTGTCATAACTATAGAACCTAAAGATACAGGGTCCGTCAGAAAGAACGCATGTTTTTTAAATGAGTAATACAGTCAAAATAAGTATGGGAAAAATATTTCATTATATCAAAATACTCAGAAATACATGCCATTTTTTGAGCAAAACAAAATTTACGTTCTAAAAACTATGTCGGCCATATGCCATTGCATCGGCCAGCATCTGTGCAGGAATTTGGGTTACTTCTCTTCTTATCTCCTCCTTCAAATCGACGAGGGTCCGAGGCTTGCTTTGGTAAACCTTGGATTCCAGGTAGCCCCATAACAAAAATCACACGTTGACAGGTCCGGGGAGCGAGGGGGCCATTGAAATTGCTGAAGAAGTCCCATCGAAGTGCGAGCTGTGTGAGATGTTGCCCCGTCTTGTTTGAACCACACTGTTCTGAGAGGGACACGTCGACTTCGATAGTTGTTTCTCCATGATCCTGAAAAAATAAGGCCCAATAATCATCGTTTGGCCTACTTGCACACCGAACTGTAATTTTCGGGGTATACAGGGGGTGCTCATGCAACTCTTGGGGGTTCACTGGAGACCAATATCGACAATTTTGTTTATTGACGTATCCATGTAAATGAAAATGTGCTTCATAAACAACGTCATGTCATTGTTATCCAACTGTTCAATCATGAGCTGTGCAAAATTAACACGTTGTGCATAATCCCCTGGCAACAGTTTTTGCCAAACTTGGATTTTGTAAGGATGGAACACTAAATCCTTCTTCAAGATGCGACCTACAGAGGACGCGTGTATCCCTAGGGAACTGGCACGCAAACGGACGCAACGATTAGAGCTTTGCAGCGTGTCAACTCTCACTCTGTCTCTGTCTACGTTTTCGGGGTTTCTAACAGTACGGTTTTTTCTTCATCACATTACCTGTTGTGCTGAATGCTCCCACCGATCTCAAAATGGTGTTACGGTCTGGTACTGTCCCACGACTTGCAACACGAAAGTGAACGCGAAACTCACGTTGCGTTCGAACGAAAGTACCGACGTACAGTGAACACACGATGCTCAACGTTCCAAACCATCTTGCCAACTGAAACGGCACTTCTCTCACTATCCAACATGCGGTCTTTCTGGCGGCCCCTGTAGTTACACGAAGACAACACAAGGAAATTAATCTTCAATTATCTCGGCGTCAGATGCTCACAAATCCCATAAGTAAGTTATAATTCTTAGGAGCAGAACAAACAATAAATATGAATATTCAATTAAACCGTACGTATCTGAGATACCTACACCCGAGCTCTGAGTAGTATTGTATAAATATATAATACGAATAAGATTATATGCGTGCTCAAAATCACAGATTTTAAATTAAGATTAAAGCTGAGGGTAATTAATAATGCAGTCGTTAAGAGCCTAACGACACTATCTAGATTTCGTATGTCGTTTATTAATATTTAACCAAATTAATTTTCCGCCATGACAAAAGGGAATAAAATATTTATAGCTTCCTGTGCATATGCCGCGATGAAATTTCTACCTGAAAGAGCTTATTATCCTGTATTTACCCCAAGAAAAATGTCTCGAGACGAATTGACTGCATAGAGTCATTAACTCGTTCGTTGTCTCTCGGTGCTAAAAAAATGGAACAGGGAACCTTTGTGTCAGAACCGGAGCTAGGGCTGATGTTCGTGAAGAATAAGGGAACAGTACTTCCAGGCGCCTTTGGGAGAATATAAAAATTGCGTCAAGTAGGGCAATTCTGCTTGTTCTATTTCCAAAACCCAACGCTATATTAACGTTAACAGGATCGAAACAGTTACATGTGACTTAAAAGGCTGAATAAAATTCCTTTATTTTGTTTACATAACATGTATATATGCTAAAATCGAAATGCCACAAATTAGCCCCATTAGAAATAAGTTTACTACGCACATATACAGGGTGTTCATTTGAAAACCTCCCACCACGGATTTATCGAAAACCACTGATTAAAGAAAAAACGCCGAGACACGTCAAATGATTTGTCAAAGGGGACAATTTTTTAACCAAAAACTACTTCACCCCTTTTCACCCTCTATCCCCAGGGTAATCCCCTAAAAAATTTCAAATGTCGAGGGTCTCGAGTATACAGGTATAGCTTTTTTAAAAGGTCTTTATTCTGACGTCTGATCGGTCGATCCGTTTTCAAGACAATTAGAAAAATCTTGATTAATCTTAATTTGTTCAGATAGAAAACAAAAAGACACAAAAATATCATTTTTATTTCAATAAGTGTTCAAAATGTTGCCGGTTATTGGTCAAACAATGATATTCGCACAAACATGTTATGGGATATCATGGCAGCTCTTGATGATGCTTTGGCGAAGTTCATCCAAACTTTCAGGTTGGGAAGAAAACACAATAGATTTCAAATGCCCCCTAGGAAGAAGTCTAATGGCGTCAAATCAGGAGATCTAGCAGGCCAATCTATAGGCCTTCTTCGCCCTATCCATTCATCTGGAAACTCGTCGTCTAGCCATTGCCAAACCAGAAGACAGCAAATTATTTCTTTCCCTTAGCAACAAATAACTAACGGTTATAACAATAAATGCAGTTCGTCCAGGATATCTGTGCTGATGAAAAGAATGCGGAAAATTCGGGTTGTTACCACGTCAAATCTTCCGAATTGCAGTTTATGTTGGTAGTTTCCGTTTTAAATTATAAATGAATTGTAGATTTGGCAAGCCCTAACGGGCAAAATTTTGAACACTTATTGAAATAAAAAGTGATATTTTCTTGTGTTTTTTTCCTTTCTGAACAAATTAAGATAAATAGATATTTTTTCTAATTTTCTGGAAAATGCACCGACTGATTTTAAAAAATCGAACGTCAAAATAAGGGACTTTTCATACAAGCCATTACTCGATACCCCTTGTCATTTAAAATCTTCAAGGGAATGACCCTGGGGGCCCAAGTGTTAAAGGGGGTGAAGTAGTTTCTGGTTAAAAAGCTGTCCCCGTTGATAAATCTTTTGACGTATCTCGGCGTTTTTTCTTTTAATTTAAATTAATTTTTCGATAAATCCGTGGTGGGAAGTTTTCAAATGAACATGCTGTATAGAAAAAGGAATGGGTCGTCTATTCAATATGCTCGAATTGAATCAAAACCTGACTAGACAGTATTGTATTATATCTTTCTGGTGGCTAATATTACTGGGACCCGACGGCTACATTTGAATCGACCTACAATCTCCAACTCCCAATTTTCGATACTTACAAAAAATGGAGTGAGAGAGGAAATGAGAAGGAATCCTTCATTAACTGATCACAGCGTCGCGTAGGAAGTGCAAGGTCAATCTACTTGACACTTTTTTTCGTGCCTAGCATGGTAGTCACTTTGTGAATCAAACATTAGTGGACAGACGGACAGGCATACTAAAGACAGGCAGACAAATCGACGGAAATGTGTGACTTGATTTTGGCGTGATATGCAAAGGGAGATAGGAACTAGGAAGTCGTTTTCTTCAGCTTGTCGATGTTCAGGTCTCTGAAGACATAGGTTGCACACATCTAGAGTGCTTCTGCTTCGACTATTGTATGTCTACTTGAAGCAGATTATTAAAAACAAGCCCCTTTCACCAACGGAGGACCCTTCTTCATCTAGCCTCTGCGTCCTAAGCCAAACAAGCTTAGTTTTATTAAGATCTCAAAACTCCTCTTTCATACTAGACAATCTAATAGACACCAATCGCTTTATCAAAGACTTCCTCAATTTACATTACCAATATCTAAATTTCCTCGTGGTTTTCCGATATTCCAATATCAAAAGCCTAGTTTCAGACACACTGTATATTTAACTGAACTTGATTAAGCACTAATGATCGACCTATTTACTAGGAGAAACACATGGTGCTACTTTTGAAAGGGGTCCTAGAAGTTATTGCTTTTCAGGTAAAAATCGCTTTTCCCCGTTTAAAATGCCACAAAAATTGGACGTGTAGGTATCTATTAAATTTTTAGTATTCCAAGATTTATGGACGATTTTACACTGCCAAATAGAGAGGGTTGTTAACAAATGGTACTTAAATTGATGATTTATACCACACAACACATGCATAACTCAAAGGCTTTTTCATAGACCATTTATACAATTATTGATCAGTTCTCCTAGGTATTTTAGACAATCAACAGACATTTTTCAATGTGGTCCCCTGACATAAATCAGAGGAAGCTTTCTATAGGCCGAGAAATAACACTGCACAAAGCATACGTGAACGGGAGTGCAGTGAAATGGGCTGAATTTGTAGTCTTCATGGGCACAAAGTTCGATGACGAACAGCTTTTGAGCTGTTGTCGGACAACGCGATACTTCCGCGTAACAGTCGCGCCGCCGAGTGCACTCAAACTCGCTCAGCTACGCGCTGCTAGAATACATTCGCTCATTTCTGGCCAGCCGCGATTAAACCGAGCAGGCAGTAGCTGAGCGGTTTTGCATTTCTCTTATTTGACAACTATCCTACCAGTTACCTTGGTCTCCCAAGGTATACAGGGTGTTCCTTAATGATATGCGAATATTCAAGGGTGTGAATCTACACGAAAAATTAACGTTAGTTTGCTTTATAAACAATGGTCCAAAAATGTTTCTTTACAAAAACTCGGTTTTTATGAAAAAAAATGGAAACTAATTAATATTTTCAGAACCGCTTCAGATATTTCACTGATACTTAGTACGTGGTGAAAGTTAATAAAGTTGCATATTTTTCAATGCAAAATAATTTTATCTTTAACAGTGACGTGCGTACGGGTATTGACTTCGATATTTAAAAAAAAAAATGTACGCCACTGGTTTTTTGCCAAATAAAAATTATTTTTGAATTCCCCGTTCAATTTAAATCAAATGATCTTTTGTTGAATTGTTTTCCTTCGATGCGCTATTTTTGAGTAAAAAAATAAAAACCCTTCTATTGTCCGAGAAAATTAATGTAATAATTGAAGAATGCAATTTAGCAATAAATATCTAGTTGCTCTGGAATATGTAACTGGCTTTTGAGATCTGACAAGTCTCTGTTATTCATATCTGTTCGCTGTGACATCTTTTTATTATTTCGTTTTTACAATCTTGTTAATAATGGTGAATTATTCAAATGCAGAAATGGCGTAAATGCATTACGTATATGGCCTTGCCGACGGTAATGGTGAGCCAGCCAGACGGATTTATCACCAGAGATATCCCGATCGTGCTTTGCCAGATAGTCCAACCTTTTCTAATATTCATCGTCGTCTTGTTGAAACTGGTTCTGTCCGAAAAGGAAGTCTGAAGGTAGACCTCTAAGTGTTAGAACACCTGAAATTGAGGAAGCAGTGCTGCACAAAGTCGAAGACCATCCCGAAACGAGTACGAGGAGGATCGCTAGACACTTAAATATTTGCCATCAAATTGTTTGGAGAATTTTGGTGGATTTTTTGTTATATCTTATCATATTTTAAGAGTACAACAGGCATTACTTCCCATTGATTTTCCAAGGCGTCTGACCTTTGAGTGGTATCTTCAAAAAATTACACAAAATCCGCAATTTGAATCAATGATTCTGTTTACGGACGAAGCTAATTTTTCTCGAAATGCCACTCAGAATTTCCACAATAATGATTTGTGGACAGAAGAAAATCCCTATGCCGTAGCCGAAACCCATTTCCAACACCAATTTTCGGTTAACGTATGGGCAGGAATTATTGGCAACCACTTTAATGGCCCATTCTTCTTGCCGGGACGACTTGGCGGACAGACTTACCTCAATTTTCTTCAACAACAGTTGCCTTTGCTGCTTGATGATGTTCCGTTAGTAATAAGAAACAATATGTGGTACATGCATGATGGTGCACCAGCCCATTTCAGTGTAGCGGTTCGTAATTATTTACAAACTGTTTATCAAAATCGGTGGATTGGCCGCGGTGGGCCCCAAGAATGGCCACCAAGGTAACCAGACCTCAACAGTTCAGATTTCTTGTTGTGGAGCTATCTTAAGTCACTAGTGTACAGAAGTCCCATTAACACTGTAGGAATTAAGAGAAAGAATAGTTGCAGCTTGTGATCCAATCAAAAACAGTCCAGGGATATTTCAACGAGTGCGCAATTCCATGAGGAGGGCGGAAGCATGCATACTAAGTGAAGGAGGCATTTTCAACAATTTTTGTAATCATTTCGTTGGTTTTAATGTCATGTTTATGTTGTCAGTTGTTATTCATTACCCGTAATGTGTTTAATTTTTCCAATTAAATTAATAATAATTTTGCAAGTTAGACAATAGAACGGTTTTTATTTTTTTACGCAAAAATGGCGCGTCGAAAGAAAACAATTCAAGAGAGATCATATGTTTTGAATTGAATAGAAAATTCAAAAATAATTTTTATTTGGCAAAAAATCATTGGCGTACCATTTTTTTATAAAAAAATGTCGAAGTCGATACCCGTACGCACGCCACTGTTAAAGCTTAACATTATTTTTCCATTGAAAAATATACAACTTTATTAGCTTTCACTACGTACTAAATATCAGTGAAATATCTGAAGCGGTTCTGAAAATATTAATTAATTTCTGTTTTTTTTCCTAACCTCGGGTTTTTATAATGACCATAGTTTATAAAGCAAACTAACATTAATTTTCCATGTAGATTCACACCCTTGAATATTTGCATATCATTAAGGAACACCCTAGTCAAGGTGCAATTCCGTTCCAGTCTTTTAAATCGAATTGGAGCAATTTTCTTTTGAAGTTTGATTTTACTTACATAATAAGTAAGAATACTGAACTGTCATAAAACTTTTATCCTGCTTCTTCACTTTCACATTTTTGAACAACATATATCCAGACTAGACACATTTAATCAATTAAAACGTTATCATCTGCAGTTATCATTCCTGAATGGCTTATTAAATTCAAGCATTCTCTTACAAAGCCAATTTAGCTGGAAACTATTTTCTCATCTCGTAGTGCAGAATCCGCAGTTATCAAATACCTGACTGAGGAATGTCAGATAAGTTATAATAACAAATATGCTATTGTTGGTCCTATCTGGTTCCAGCTCGGCCATCCCCTTACCCTAGGTCATGTTCCATTGTTTGAAGCCGATAAAGCAGCGCGGTTGAAAAAAATCGCCAACCGGTACCTCTGCCGGTAACTGGAGATTTGTTTGTTGCACTTTAATAGAAACATGTATATTTTATTACTTCACCCGATATTTGAATTAGATGGAGATTTCAGAAACAGATTCTAGGATATTTAGAGTATCGTTCATGAGGAATACGACACATAACACACGGGAAATGTCTCCGTGTGCACAAAATTTTATAGTGCTATCGAAATATACAGGGTGATCCAAAAATAAGATATTGTGTTACAGTTTGGATATACCTCTCAAACTATAGAAAATAATATTTCTGCAAATACGTGTGCTATTATGATGCGTAGTATTATCGGGAAGATAAGCTTCTTGACAATATAAGGTTTTCAAAACATTTGCATCTCTCAACGCCTAAGGCTCTAACCTCCCTAAAATTTTTCTGGAAATGAGCCTCTAAAACGTCAAAAACAGTTTCAGCGATTTTTATCTGTTCGTTGTTTGCCCGTAGCCCCGCAGGCACTGGGTATTTTCCAGGACCCACAAAGCTGTTTTGTCCATATCATAGCATTACCTTTGTTTCTCATCAAAATCTGAGTGGTACTGTCTGAGTTATTGACAGCCAATGATTGTAGGGTTTTTCCTTGATTTCAGAATGCCTCTCTCTCTGGCATACGTTGTGACAAGTTTTCCAAGCTGTCTTCCAATAAACAAAATGCTCTATTTGTACTTTCCACGCCTACTGACGAGGTATTGTAATCGCGAAAGTATGATCACGCATATTATATCTTGTGTGTTGAAATCTGTTTGACACTAATGTTAAAATGTTTTATTAATAACTGTATCAGAAATTTACTAATAAAATATCGTCAGTCCCTCGTAAAGTTGGTTTAAGTTGCCTATAGGCAACCAGCATGCTCCTACTTTTGACATTGATCGACAATCAACTGACAGTCTGTCATATTTTCCTGTCGAATTCTAGGTGTGGGTCCTTCGTTTGATTTCTAGATTTTGGGATATTCGGCCCTAATCACCAGTTTATACAGTAGCACCTTTTTTGTACCTACCTTACGTTTAGTTGTTTCTTTTGGTTTGGATGCTGTCTCCATTGTTATGGGTCTTAACCTCTTCAGCGTGGGCAGGCATTTACATCAAGGTTTTTTTTAACAGAAAGGGATGATGTAAACAACATATCACGTTGACGCGCCAGCGTTCTTTGCAGCTGCAGGATCTAGGATACTACAGGTGACTATACTATACAATATTTTGGGTCCCAAGAGCGTCAAGGAGTTGGGCCTGAAGACTATACACAGCTTCGTTAGAAGGGCAGGACTTGAGGCAGAGGCATGTGCTGCCTCCCCTTGGATCTAGCAATGTCTCTAATTTCATTTAATCCCTTCATTCACTCCTCGCCGATTGGCGTGAGAGATAAAAATGGAGTCAGTCACTATTTCAATATGTGAATTCGCAGATCTGTAACCTGAAATGCATTGGAAGTTTCGCATAAAAAATACAACGTCCTGATGTGATCAGAAGACCTCAACATCACGGCTTTTGATTTTTAAATATATTACTGTTTCTTAATCGCCCTGTGCAGAGAATAAGCGGTGTTGAAAGGAAATATGCCTCTTGATGTTTCATGTCAACGAATCCAATTCCAAATTGTCACATCCCTGTGATATTTCGTCAGTCCATTATGCGACTACCTATGTTTTCTTTTAAGCGCATTATACAGAAAATACTCCCAGAAAATATGGCAAACCCCTTCATAATGACTGTTCTCGTTAGCAGCCATGTCATTATTTCCCATAATCGGACAAAAATAATAGCCGACGTTTTTGACATTTAGGCAGTGGAAAATCCATCGACACGCGAATCTATTTGCCCGTTTTCACCACATGTATTATTAGTACCTGCTCCATGAAAGTGAATATATTACACTTGGGGTTATTTCAGTACATGATTCTTGAGGAGATAGAAACGGCGAAAACCCGCAACTCGTTGGAGCAATTTTCCGACTCTTTTTTTTATCATAATTACGTTTGTTGCACGCCTCTCAAATATGAATCAACAGGTTACCGTGAGGTAACTCGGTGCAAATTTGTTTAATTAATGCTCTTAAACAAATTAAAAAAACAGGTTTTTACTTCCGACTCCAACTGGCTGAGAAGCATTGTAATCTCGAAAATTTCCGAAAATGAAATACATAATGAGCCGTACTCATAAAAAAGCATATCTTCGGAAGCATAAGGTAAAAGTATAAGGTCTTGCTTCGGAGAAAAAGCATATCCTTGTTTTTATATTCATAATGATTACCTTATACTCGCGAGGATATCCTTCAAGAAGAAGTGAAAGGTTGACTGGTATTTGTATCTTGACTGACTTGTTCCAGCTAGTAGTTGACGTGGGAGTTCGTTCACTCAGCATCACTGACAGTTGTACTCCAGAGCTTACACAGACCGTTCCGTATTTTTACTGGATACAGTTTTTTTATCAAATTAATAAGCATCTCATCCTCAAGTGGTGAGGAAACTAGAGAAAATAATGGCAACGACCTGCAGTTCATCGCAGATGAAATTGCCATTGCTCCCATTATTTTGCAAAAGTCACAAGTTCCAAAAATAAAAATGAGAAAGGACGATGCCTGAAGATGTTGAAAAAATACGAATCAGCATTCGGTAGACCATTTGGTACGAAAGGCTTATTAAAAAAATCAACAACATGAAATCAAGATTGAAGAAAAAAACAGATCTAAAAAAAACTAGTAATAAAGCAATTAAAGTGTTAGATTGGGAAAGAAAGTTGCTGAAAGCTATCGAAGGTGACTGTAATCCTACAATTGGGAAAATAAGAGGTGCCATTCAGGTTGGTAGTGTTCAAGAACAAAGAAGTGAACTATATACCGAGCGCAGTAAGCAAACAGTTAGTATTACAGAGCCATCAATTCCGAAGATGTTGCCACCAAAAGAAAATTAGCAACAGAGAAATACGAAACTGAGGAAACCAAAGTTAACTACAAAAGAACTGCAACGTCTAGTGCTATTACAGCAGTACCAAACAAGTATTTTACAACAAGAGTATTATAAAACGAAATTAGAAATGATGCAGCGTCTGAAGCCACCTGTAACTTATGATGTTCATGAAAATAAAAATTATTATAACTTATAAATACACCTTAGTCAGTAAAACTATTTATTATAATACTCAATCAAGTTTCTTCTTATTTGTTGACCTAGTTGGCGGAGAGGAAGTTCGTCATTCTCATGATTTCCTTCATCTTCATCTGGGTCTTGTTCAACTAACTCAAAGTCAGGATCGCCCAAGCTCTTCGCAACATTATGGAGTACAATACAAGCAATAATTATTTTCGGCACAGTTTCCAACTTTACGCGGCAAACATACTGTAAGATAGGAAACCGGCGTTTCAGTTTTCCGAAACAGCGTTCAATTATCACGCTTTCTTGTTTTAAAAGCTTATTATAATTTATTTCTGCAACTGGAGTAGGATTTCTGAAGGGAGTCATAAGGCATGGCTCAATACCATAACCGTCATGGCCAAGTAGTACAACATTTATTTTATTTATTAGTTGTGATCTCGTTTCTTCTTCTTCATCTTTCGTAGGTGGTAGACGGTCTCTGACTGTCGAACGCGGAGGTACCACCCGGCGGATCTCGTAGGCGGAGCCAGAATGTGTGCATGTTGCATGCACACGTGTTCCCTCGCCAGAGTCCGTGTGGCGTCCCCCCCCCCTTTCTCCTGTATCCCCCTATAGCCCCACGGTACCCAATGGGTGTTTAGGCCTTAGGCCTTCGTGGTAGCTGGAGTATAAAAAAATACAGTACAGTATAGTACAACATTTGCTTTATTTATTAGTTGTGATCTATTCTGTGAATTTCTCCATATTCTGGAATCATGCACTGATCCAGGCCAACTGTCATCAACACTTGTGAACATCTCTCTGGCATCACAAGTGGCTTGCACATTTAAAGCAGGTTTCCCTTTTTGGTTGATATACTCATCTCCATGGCGATTTGGCTTCAGGATTCCTACATGTGTACAAACAATTACACCAATTGCTATCGGAAGTTATACATTCTTTTCCATATCCGCTTGGCCTCCATCAGGTCATGATTGGTAGTTGGAAACTTGATCCATTCGTTCGACTTGCAACTATGCTGTTCACAACTCTATCCACAGTCAGAGATACCGTCGCTTGACGAACACCAAGTTCCTGACCAATACCTTGTTGATATCCAGGGTCATCGAGATAGCGTAGACATATCTTCAATTTACGAATACATGAAAGTGCTCCTCCTCGAGTTTCCTCATTCTCAACTAAAAATCTGTCCGCAAGCCATTGTACATTTGCTTCGTCGAACCGATATAATTTTTTGAAGTCAGGACCAAGTGAAGGTACGTTTTAACATCCCTAACATCTACAATTTCCGCCATCATCGTTTGACCACCTTTCGTTACGAAGTTGAGTCTGCTACTGACCACACTCAGAATTTTTGGAGGATATGTTTCCTATGCTATGTATAAGGTGAAGATTATGAATATCCTTTTACTTATGTCACTGCTTTGAAGGATATGCTTATACTCAAAATGCAAAAGCATTTACTTCAAATTATTATAAATACCATCTGGAGGATTTCCTTCAAAACTTGCAAGCACAAGGATATCCTTTGTTTTATGAATATGGCTCATTGATTTCCGTCGGTATGTCTGTCTGACGGTCTGTGTGTCTGTATGTCCGCTAATTTTAGGGCGCATCGCTCAGGTTTTGATGAAATTTTTACACAATCTTGCTACCATGCCAAGAACGCAAAATTTTTTTAGGTTTTGGAGATCACGCCAGTACCAGCCGATAAAAAGGCCAAAAACAAAAAGAAAATAAAAATCGCTCAATCTTTTTTGACGGTTCAGGCGACCATTTTCGGAAATTTTTTGAAGGGATTAAAAAAATTCGAATTCAAATTCCTTTATCAGGTCCGATG